TCTGTTCCTCATACCCTTTCACAATCCTCTCCCCCTGGAAGTGAGCTGGGCCTAGTGACCCATTAACCAAATACAAAGATCAGGAGACATCAGTTGTAATATTAGTTTACAAAACGACCCTGGCGTCCACCTTGGTACTTTCTCTTGCCTTTTACTTTCAAGAAAGCCAGCTGCTATGTTGTGAGCTGCCCATGTGGAAAGGAATTGATGTGGCCAGCCAAAGTCAGTGAGGACTTGAGGCCAGCCAACAGTTTAAATTAGTTTGGAAGATGATTCTCCTTCAATAAAGACTTCAGATAACTACAGCCTTGTAAGAGACCCTGGGAGCCAGAGGAACCCAGCTAAGCCATGTCTGGATTCCTTACCCAAAGAAATAGTAAGATAATAAATGTATGGTTTTTTTTTTCATCCTCACCCAAGGACATTTTTGCATTTATCTTCAGGTAGAGTAGGAGGGAAAGAGGAAGAGAGAGTGAAACATTGATGTGAGGGAGACACATCGAGTGGTCACCACCCGAACAACCCCAACCAGGGCTAGGGACAAACTGCAATTGAGGTACGTGCCCTTAGCAGGAACCGAACCCGGGACTCTCTGGTGTGCGGGCCGTCACTCTAACCACTAAGCCAAACCGGCCAGGGCTGTATGTTTGTTTTAAGCCACTAAGCTTGAGGGTAATTTGTTAGACAATAGCTAACATACTATCACAGCTCTTACTCTGATTCAGCAGTCAAAAATACCATGTTGATTAGACTCACACTAGCTGCTATTATGATTAAAACCCAAATGTCATTACCTTAGTATATATAAATTTATTTTTCAATCACATGATAATCCATTGTTGGTGTTCCTGAATGAGATCTTCCATCTTGCAGCTCTGCCATTCCATACAACTAAGAGTCTTCTTCCAGCTGGACAGTGCATCCTCTTCTTAATAACCATGCCCCAAGGGACATATATCACTCCCACTCAAACCACATTGAAGAAAATTAACCTAAAAGCCACAGCTAAAAGCAGTAGTGGCTGAGTACTATAGGATGTGCCTGGGAAGAATCAATTCCTGACAAGAAAAGCACCAACTTTTGGCGGTCATCCCAGTCATATCCTAGACATCATTAACCAATACATACTCAGGATCTTGGAAAATAACCACAGTATGGATTTCTGGTCATTGGACCTGCTATAAGCTACATTAGATAAGAATTCCCCCATAAGTCCTCACTCTGTATAAAATACACTCTTTTAGGAATTCTAGAGGAAATGGCCATAGTGATTTTAATTACAATCATTCAAGAGTACTCAGTCCCCTTTCGAAGGACTCAAGTGGACGTGGGACTTGAATACCTAATGTCATGGAGTGGTTTTAATTACAACAAAACCCTAGAGCAGTTTCAACCATGGAGATTAAATATTAAGTACAATGTAAGTATCAGATATCAGAACATTCTTGGAGTTCTGAGGTTTTTTATAACCATTTCACTTTGTTCTCATGGTTAACTCTTTCCCTGTAATTCAGCTACTACACACACCCTAGTTCATTACCATTTCCAAGTACAATCGCTCTCATGAGAAGTTCCAAGTACCAAGATGGCAAGACATAAGAAAAAACTTAAGATGTTAGTGCTTCTTTCAAGTCAAAAGACCATGGAAAGGCTACTGGGCCCAGACAGGGGTCCTTGCAAAAGATGAGTCAGGGGTATGAACATAAATGATCCAATCCAGCATTATAAACTCTTGTCCTTATATATTATGTTCCTAACCATCTAAATACATTTCCAAAAGTGTTTCCTAGATTTTTAGTGGTATAATTAGTAAAGGATAGTAAATATTTCTGGATGAGATTAATCTCCTCCCTATCTTTCTGTCTTTCAAACTATAAGTCACATTAAATTCAGATTCTGGTAACCAACCAAGCAATAATGGTAGGACTAGAAAGAAGAGTGGACTCAAAAATTAAGGGTTTTTGGTCACAAGGGAGGTATAGAAAAGAGAACTGGTAGGTTTCTTAAGGTTTGAGAGAATCGAATGTTTTCTAAGATGCATGAATCCTTTGTGACAGCCCCATTCCAATAACAAGACTCAAATCTTTCCCAAGACTTCAATAGCAAGTAAGAGAAGCAGCAAGCTGGGAATTCAGTAAAAGCATCATAGCTCCGCAATTAACTGGATCTACTGCTGCATCTGGCTTCCGTCTGTGACAGCCCCATGGTTAGCAGCACTAAGATGATTTCCAATGCACTAATAAAAAGGGCCCCGATTGCAATGTCTTGCTTGAAGACTGAATATCAAGAGTCCATTTACGTAATTATCTAATTTCATTATAAAGAAGCATCACAAATACTTTTGGAACTCGCATTCTTCACCTGTATTTTTTGGTAAGAGTTCTCCGGCCCCTGATGCAAAACGGGCTTATGACTCTGCTGTATCATGAACACACCTTCCTACTACAAAACAGGACTACAAGTTTGTCTTCCGATCTCAGTCAACAGTCAATCCTTAACACCCTGCTTCTCTGTAATCTAATAGTCATTCTGTAGTACTGATTCCTATAGAACCTAGCTTTCTTTGGTTGAAAGTTGATGACTGTCACTTAAAATTAGAAGTTAAATATTGGAAGAATGCCAGGTACCTTGCAGATTTAAAAAACAGAACAAAACTAGGATGTGAGAAAGCAGAAATCATTTTAATGGATCAGAGTGATAGGAAGGGAGGCAGAAATCTTTAGGGTGCTGCCAAAGAATGATTCAATTACAACTACTTCCAGTCCAGGAGTGTTATTCCATATAGTTAATAGCGGGGACAATAAGGACCCCAATCAAAATGACTACTGATGGAAAGAAAACATACATTCCGGCCATATCAAAAGCTGAATATTGACCCTGCTCCTGAGCCTGTGTCTCCAATCAAAACACAAATAATGAAAAATTTGATTAACTTATTTGAAGCCACTGTTCAACAGAACAATATAGAATGAAGAAAGTGAAAGTGCCCATTAAGAGCTAGGAAAAGTGTGTTTGTTAAAGACAAAAACAGATTTGAACATATATACTGAAAAATATATACACAAACATGCAGGTATATATACATGCAAAGATATATATATATATTCAATATTAATTTTGAGCCTATGATTACAAGACCATTTTATACATAAGGTTCTGCAAATCACATATTTCATTTAATATATTGTGGACAAAAAACTCTCCATAGAAGCACACACAGAGTTTAACCTCTTTCTACTGACTGGACAATACAGTATTGAATAATTACAACTTAACCTGCTTGGCACGACACTGCAATCCTATTAGTCATGATTAAAACAATGCTGCCATAAACATTATTTACATCTACCTATTTATTCCAATGGGATAAAATTCCTAGATCTAGAATTACTGTTTCAAGAGAAATGCATATTTATAATGTTGACAGGTTATAATGTATTGCATTCCAGAAATGCACGAGACACATTTACACAGCCAATATTCTCCCACACAGACATCACTATTGGATATTATCCAAATTTTAGATTTTGATCCATGTAAGAGGCAAGACAATTTGTTTTAATTTGTAATTTTCTGGTTAGTGAGGTTAAGAAATTCACACATTTTCTTTGTTCATTTGACTTCTTTAATTGTGATAAGCCTGTTGGTATACAATGTCAATTTTCCCCCATTGCTTTGTATAACAGCGATTTGTTCTTAAATGAGGTTTTTCACATAAGTTGTATATATTTTGTCAATTGTCTTTTACATCTTTTGGTGCCTTTCACCATGCCAAAGTTTTAAATCTTAATATTGGTCAACTTACACTTACTCTCTTCCTTATGTCTTCCAGGACTCCATGTTCTACTTAGTAAATCCAACTGTATTATATACAATTGTATATTTCCCTGGAAGGTGTAAATGTGTTTGTTTTTGAGTAGGTAACTGTCAAAACATTATTTCTCACAAAATAAAAAACCAATTGTTTTATATACCAAAATCTCAAATGCAAAGAAACTTATTTTTTAAAATGTCTAGCTGCCCTGGCTGGTGTGGCTCAGTTGGGTGAGAATCATACCATGCACCAAAAAGATTGCTGGCAATTCAAGGTCAGGGCACATACCCAGGCTTTGGCTTGATCTCTGTTCAGGGTGTGTATGTGTGGCAGCTGATCAATGTATCTCTCTTACATTGATGTTTCTCTCTTTCTCTCCCTTCCTCTCTCTCTAAAAAATTTAATAAAAACATTAAAAATAAATAAAATGTCTAGCTATGCTCTCCAACTGATCTTTCCTCATGTGGTTTAAAAATACCGTCAAAGTAAACATATACTACTGGGACTCTATTGTGAAAAACAATTTAAAAATATTTTAATAGTATTGAGTATTTCATCTAGAAATATGTATTTTTCTTTTTATCAACATATTTTCTATTGTTCAATGTGGTTTAATAGTTTCCTTTTACCTCTACTTATAAATCACTTGAGTTTTTCTTTTTAAAACATTTTTTTCCTTTACTGATTTTAGAGAGAAAGTGTGAGGGAGAGAAACATCGATGAGAGAGATCAATTAGCTGTCTCCTGCATGCCCCCCACCGGGGATCAGGCCCACAACCTGTCCGTATGTCCTGACCGGGAATCAAACTGGTGACCTCTTGGTGCATGGGTCGATGCTCAACTACTGAGCCACACCAGCTGGATGACAGTTTTTCTTGATGTGAGAGTTGTATTTTCCCCGAAGAGATAATTAGAACCCTTTTTATATTACTTCTCTGTGCTGGAGAAGGGGTGGACTTTTTCTATAAAAGGATAGTAAATATTTGAGGTTGTACAGGCCATGTTGTTTCTATTGCAGGTACTCAACTCTGACCGTGTAGAGTGAAAACAGCCATAGACAATATGTAAAAAATGAGTGTGGCTATGAGCCAATAAAACTTTATTTACAGACACTGAAATTTAAATTTCATATAATAGTCATGGTGTCATAAAATATTATTTTCTTCACTTGTTCAACCATTTAAATATCTTAAAAATTTAGATCATTGGGCCATACAAAAATAGTGAGAGTTTAGTCATGAGTCAGTTTGCTGACCTCTACTCTTGATGAGTGTACCTCAGGTTTATGGTGCCTTGAAAGTTTAATAGAATTCATTCATGAGTCCAGGTGACTTTAAATGGATCAAATCTTGCCAAATTTTCTAATTCTTAAGTAACATGTCTGTAGTTTTAACTTTATGCAGTTTGCATTTTTTTTTTTATTGTTCCAGGTAGCCTACTCATCCATATTCTCTACACACTTTCTAAGACTGTTGACAGATGTAAAGTTGAATTTTCTCATCAACAAGTACACCGTACACTTATGCAGATATTATGGAAAACCACAACACTAACTCAACATAATACAATCAAGTTTTAAACCAATATAGGCAAAGCTTCATTATCCAATCTGAAACTCCTGTTTCTGATCTAAAATCTCGTTTCTCCTGGTCTCATTTTATGCATCATTTTTATTGAGAGCTAACTATGGTAATACTTTAATGTCCCCAAAAAATGTTTTTAAAAGAGCTAAAATTACTCAACAACTTAGTGAGGCACTGTTTTAAGAGCATCTTGGGAATTGACCACTTTAAAGGATCTCAATGCAAGTTTTTACATGAAAAGTGAATGAATTACATTTATACCTAAATCAATCTGCCTGCTATATGAAAAACAAACTTGTAGAGGACAAAAAGAAAAGAGCAGAGAGACCAGTTTTTAAACTACTGGAGTAGTCTATCTAAAATAATGATACTGAGACTACGGTGATGGGAGTGACGATGGATTCCAGAGATATTTTGGAAACAGATCCACAGGGCCTGATGTGGAAGGTAAAGAGGGGCATGTTGATGACTCTCCAGTATGAATTCGCTGATGAACAAAGTGTGTACTCTGCCTGAAGACTTTCCTGCTTTTCTTATGGTTATAAGACCTCTCTCCAGTATGGACTCTTTTGTGTTGATTAAGGTGTCCAATTTGGATGAAGGTTTTCCTACATTCCTTGCATTCATATGGTTTCTTTCCAGAATGAATTCTCTGATGTACACTAAGTGACTGGCGATGGCTAAAGGCTTTGCCACATGCACTACACTCATAAGGTTTCTCTCCAGTGTGACTTCTGCGATGACAAATAAGGGATGACTTTGTCTTAAATGCCTTTCCACATTCAATACATTCATAAGGCCTTTGGCCCGTGTGAAGCCTCTGATGTTGAGTACAGGATGAGTTATCACCAAAGGCCTTCCCACACTCGATACATTTATAGGGTTTCTCTCCGGTATGAACTCTCTGATGTTGAATGAGGTGTGTGGTCTGGCTGAAGGCTTTCCCACATTCCTTACACTCATATGGTTTCTCTCCAGTATGAGTTTTCTGATGCTGTGCAAGGTGAGCCTTCTGGGTAAAGGCTTTACTACAAACCTTACATTCATAGGGCTTCTCTCCAGTATGAATTCTCTGATGAGTGGCCAACTGTGAACTGATGCTAAAAGATTTGCCACATTCCCCACATTCAAAGGGTTTCTCGCCGGTATGAATTCTCAAATGACTAGCAAGGTGTATATTTTGCCTAAAAGCTTTTCCACATTCTTTGCACTTAAAAGGTTTCTCTCCAGAATGCACTCTTTGATGTTGAGTGAGTGATGCATGATGGCTGAAGGCTTTTCTACAAACATCACATTCATATGGTTTCTCTCCAGTATGAATCCTTTGATGAACAGTAAGGGACGAGCCATATCTAAAAGATTTGTCACACACATCACATTTGTAGGGTTTCTCTCCAGTATGAATTCTCCTATGTTGATTAAGTCCTATGTGATCACTGAAGGCTTTCCCACAGTTGATGCATTCAAAGGGTTTCTCCCCTGTATGATAATATCTCCAGTGACGAATAAGGGATGTGTTCTGTATGAAGGCTTTCCCACATTCAACACATTCATAGGGCTTCTTGCCAGTGTGACATCTTTGATGTCGAGCAAAGGATGAACCATCGCTGAAGGCCTTTCCACATTCATTACATTTATAGGGTTTCTCTCCAGTATGAATTCTCTGATGAACGGTAAGAGATGAGCTCTGGGTAAAAGTTTTCTTACATTCATTACATTTGAAAAGTTTTTTTCCTGCATAGATTCCTGTATGTTTTATTACCACTGTATTTTTGGGAAAACTTTTCTTAATTGAATCATGATTATGAACTCTCTCTTCTGAAACATCCAAGGGGAACCATCTTCCAGATTTGTTATACATACACTCTCTTTCTTTAGAGAGGGTTTTGTTATTAGTGATTGTCTCTTGCCTGAATTGTGTCTCCTGACCTACCAGCTTCCTTTCAAACACACCCTCAGAATCCCAATTTTCTCTGAAAGTGGAATACTCCAGATTAGTGCTTAAAGTTCTGTCTGTTATCACTTCAGCAAATAAATCCTGCTTTGGAAATAATTCCTGGGTCTCATGTACAGATTGTTGGCCTGAAACATATCAAGAAAACAAATATTTCCTTTATCATATACTAGAAAAAAAAATATGCCAAAAGGAAAATTATAAATGGATTCACTAAATGGTGAATTAAAACACATAAATTATTCACTTCTAAAAGCTATGGCATTTAAACATGCAGCCTATGATACTGAATATGCAAAAGAGACTCCAGACTGAATTCATGTAAGACCCTTAGAAGATGTGAGTAGAAAAAATATGTATGTGGAATTGGTTACCTATCAGAAGAGTAGGAAGTTGAAACGATGTTCAGCAATCACACCACCTAAAAACACACTATGACATTCACTGACTAACTTCTCTCACTCTCTGTCCATCCTGTTTTGGATGCCATAGCAGTTATCACATCACAAACGTTGTTCAAGAAACATGCCAAAGCACAAAAAAGAGATTGTACTCCATAATATTAATAATATCTAAAAACCCGATTATTTCCCTATGACCATAAAATGATGCTTCTGTAAGCCATATTTTATTTGTACAATTTCAACAAGAGCTACATTACCAATTGATGGCTAAAGCTTGGAAGTCCCATTAAATTATTTTTAAGTTTACCTGCTTGCTTCCACAAGCCTGACAGAATCTTCACTTTTTCTTGGCCATTTCTTAAAAATAGGGCCTTGCAATTTAATATTTCATTTTGAGGAGATTATTTTTATAACAATGGTGAGTCTTAATATTAAATTATGTTCAGATACACTACTGAAAAGTATATACCTAATCTCAGACTTTAAGCTTATAGGAAGGAGTATATATGCCTGAAATCCTTTTGCTAAATCAGCATATACAAAAAATTGTGCATATATAGTTATATCTTAATAAATATATAGAAATGAAACTGGTATTGGGGAGATGATGCAGAAAGACTATAATGTCTGAAAAAAGAAAAATTCTTTTTTAAAAAATGTTTTCATTTGTTTATTTTTTTAGAGAGAGAGGAAGGGAAAGAGACAGAAACATCGATGTGAGAAATATCTATTTGATACCCTCTGCATGCCCCCTACTGGGGTTCAAGTCAGCAACCTGGACATGTGCCCTGACCAGAAACTGAACCAGGACCTGAGTCCATGGGATGGTGCTCAATCCACTGAGCCACACTGGCTGGGTGACAAATTCTTTTTTTTTTAAATGACAAACACTGAAAGCTTTCCTTCTTAGGTCACACCAAGACAAGGATGCCTCTTTTACAACTTCTATTCAACAACGGTCTGGAAGTTCTAGCCAGAACAATTAGAAATAGAAATAAAAGGCACCCAAGTTTCCAGATGACATGATCTCATATATAGAAAACCCTGAAGAATTTATGAGCAAAATATCAGAGTTAATAAGTTAATACATCAAAATTGCAAGATACAAGAGCAACACACAAAAATCACTGCTTTTGTATACACTCAGAATGAACAATTTGAAAAAAAAAAATGAAAACAATTCCATAAAAAATAGCATTAAAAGAAATTAGTTAGGAATAAATTTACCCAAGGAAGCAAGATTGATGGCTAAAATGACAAAACATTGCTGAATAAAATTAAGAAGACCTCACTGGCCTGTTTGGCTCAGTGGTTAGAATGTTAACCTGAGATCCGAAGGGTCTCAGGTTTGATTCCCAGTCAAGAGTACATGCCTGGGTTGCAGGTTTGATCCCCAGCCCTGGTCGAGGTCATGTGAGAGGCAGCCAATCAATGCATCTCTCTCACATCGATGTTCCTCTCTCTCTCTCCCTCTCCCTCCCTTCCACTCTGTCTAAAAATAAATGGAAAAATATCCTCAGGTGAGGATTAACAAAAAGAAAAACAAAACAAGACCTAAATAAATGGAAAGACATCCTGTGTTCATGGATAGGAAGACTTAACAATGTGTTCACAAATAGGAAGAGAGGAGCAGCAAAGAATTAATAAACAGAAATGAAAGCAAACATATTATTTGATACATCTATTAATAAAAAGAAAAACCATGAGTGAAAGAGGTCAACAAAGTAAATGCTTCTATTAATGAAGATAGCATCCAATTTAAATTACTGTACAGCAAGAAATATCACACAAACTTACAGACCACACAAAACTAAGAAAAAATGTATCACGTTCACAAAACAGGACTTATGTTCATACTATATAAAAAGACAAGGAATTGAAACCCAAAAGAAATGTGGGTGATGAGAATAAAGACACCATTAACAGAAATATGAACTCTAACTGGATTTAAATGCATAATTCTCAACATCACAATTTTCTGGGAAATAAATATTAAATAAAACTCAATTTTCACCCAACAGCTTGGCAAAAAATTAAAACACACACACACACACACACCCCAAAATACTATTGGTGAAGATGTCTAGAAATGGATTTCTCATATATTATTCACCAATAGTATAGGAGTACATCCATGAAACTTTAAAAATATACTCAGAATGAACACTCCGAAAAGAAAATTATGAAAACAATTCCATAAAAAAATAGCATTAAAAGAAATTAGTTAGAAATAAATTTACCTTCAATAAATTATTGAAAGTAAAAACTGGAAAAGACCTAAATGTTCAAATGTCCTCAATAGTAAGTCACTTAAGTGAATTATGGTACATCTATATTTTGTAATATTAGACAGCCATTAAAACAGTAAAGAACTATATGTATCAAGTTTCTAAAGACACAAACAGAAGGTGAAATCATAAAAGAATATATATGAGACTATATAGAATTTCCCAAAGTTTACCTATCACAATCTTAAAAGGTCTACTTAAAACTCTTATTACCATATGTGAAAAATAGTTTGAGATAATACATTAAAGAATTATGTTTATATAAAAAAGTCACAGAGACTGCTAAAACATTTAGCACATGAATAGAGAAATGAGTATAAATTATAAACATTTTATGAAAGGATCAAGAGAATAACCAACACAGGGAAAGTATTCAACCTCTTTCATAATGAAAAAATAACTTTAGGCTATAATCTTTCTCCAAATAATAAGCAAACATTTTCATCAAAATACCCAATGCTCTGAAGACACAATTAAACTCATACTTCTAGTCTTCACTAGAGGTGCTGAAAGCAAAGCAAACTTTCAGAGCCCAGATATTCAGATCCAGGGATACAGCAAACCCCAAAACATAGTTTTCATCTACATAAAGATACCAATTGTTCGTATGCTTTTCATATCAATAAATGTGAAGTAACTTAATTGAATATGCACAATATGGAAGGCACGTGAAAAACATCTGTATGCATAACTGAATATACACTATAATTCCCAGTATGTTAAAAATATGTATTTCTCATGACTTGAAAAGAATCAGAGTTGCCTTGTTAACATACTGTGTTTATGGGGTCATCCAGACAGGAGACAAGATTGCATTTTCTACAAACCATTATTTGTGAAAGAAATCCCTTTTCCTCCCTTTGTGTATCAAAAAAGGAAGAGACCCTCCACTGGAGCCTTCTTGCCAATCGACTTCCGCCCACCCTGTCTGACTACAACAACGATGCCCCTGGGATCTTCTTCTTTGCCTCTGCAATGCCTTACTGGAAATTCTGAAAATTCTACCTCATGCCAGTTACCCATGAATGTCTTACCCTCCCACTAGAGTAATGGTTTGAGTAACATAGGGACAGATTCTCTCCAACCACCTGCCAATGCCAAGCAGAGTGGCCCCCCCCCCCCCCCCAAATAACTGGGTTTGTGCTTTTTACAGGAATGGATGCACAATGAAGTGACGGATGCAAAATGAAGTGACTGGACCTTGGACCTTGGAGGAGTAAACCTTTGGCAGACAGCTCAAAAGCACATTGGGACAGGAAAAGTTCACTGAAGGAACAGTGGCTGATGCACGACTGAGGGGCCAGAAACAGAAAAAGCACTAACCAGCATGAGTTATGACCCAAGAGAAGGAAGAAAGAGAATAATTTTGAAAGGGCAGACCTCAATTTTCTCTCCAGCCCAGGAGGACTAGGGAAAATTTTCTCCTGCGTGTTAGCAAGGACTCGACCTCGAGGAAAACTATATCTACGCTGTGGTGGCATTTCCACGTCGGCCTCCTGCGCTCACCTGAGAAAAGGCCTCCTGCCAGCTCTCTCTTCACCAGCCAGGGCTCCTTCTCTTGATCCAGTAAAGAAAGCAAATCTGGCCTGGAATCACAGCGTCCTGCATACGGGAAAAGAGGGGGTCTGCTCAAGCTTGTGGCCTTCTTGAGAACCATTTCCTTGGCTTTGAGAGGAAAGTTATTTTAGGAAGAAGCAGAGAGGAGTACCTGACAGCAGAGATAGTCCTTCAAGCATAACAAAGACATCAACTTTCAACTCTACTAGCTGCAAACTCTTATCTTAGAAATTGAGAGCAAAGCCCTGGCTGGTTTGGCTCAGCAGTTGGAGCGTTGGCCCAAGGACCAGAGAGTCGCGGGTTTGATTCCGGTCAAGGGCACGTACCTTGGTTGCAGTTCATCCCTGGTCCTGGCTGGGGTTGTGCAGAAGGCAACAAGTTGATGTGTCTCTCTCCCATCAATGTTTCTCCCTCCTTCCCTCCCTCCCTCCCACTCTATCTAAAGATAACCAGAAAAATATCTTTGAGTGAGGATTAAAAAAATAATAATAAACTGAGAGCAAAAATGCAGCCCAACACTTCAGAAGACGCATCATACACCAACACAATTCGAAACCGAGGAAAGATAAATTCAGACATGGGAGAGGGACAGCCTCACCTACTGCCTCCATGCCGTGGTTCTCCCATGTCACATGCTTGCAGAAACTCTTCTGAGCTGCATCTAGTTGCTGGGAGAAGTCGACAGCCATGTTCGTGGCCACCAAGCCCTGAAATGGCACAAACACATGTCTTGACCAAACCATACTTGTGAACCAGAAATGGCTCTGGCGGGGTGGGCTGTGCCCACACACTGTGACAATTCTGTACCAAGAAGTCTCACTTTGGCTCCAACTGATCTAGGTCATAGATGCCTGGACCTAGTTATAGCACATACGTTTGCTTCCCCACATTCAATACACGTTATATAACAAGTCTACAGGGTTTGCCTTTCGTGTGAAATCTTAGATGAAAAGGAAGGTTTGAGAGCCTGCTTGAGGTTTCTTCATATCCATTACATGTCCAACGTTTCTGATTTAAGTAGACTTGTTTGTGACTCATTACAGCTGAATTTCCCTCACTCTTCTGTGCATTAGGCCTGCACACTCCTCCTTCCAGCACTAGCCTGTCTGCAGGAAGCAGTGCATGCAAAGGGGAGCTTCTCCCACACCCACTGTAGGCATGGTCTCCGCCTCATAATAAGTTTCTTTCTTTGTTTTGTTACTCTTTACCAGATAGATTTTTAGATAGATTGGAAGGGAAGGAGGGAGAGAGGTAGGAGTAGAGCAGTAGAGAGAAAAAGAGAAACATTTATACCAGAGAGAGACACATCAATTGGTTGCCTTCCGACTGTGCCCCAGCTGGGGATCAAACCTACAACCCTGGTACGTTCCCTTGACTGGAATTGAACGCTCGACCCTTCAATCTGAGGGCCAATGCTATAACTGCTGAATCAGCCAGGGCAAGACAAGCTTCTTATGCAGGACATGGTCTTCTTGCAGTCTGACTTCCACTCACCCTGTGCTACAGAACGGGGAAGCTATGCCTGGGAACCCTCTCCTCAGCCTCTGTAAACGCCACCCAATGCAAGTTACTCATGAACACGGCCTCTGCCCTCCACGTGTGGCCAGACTTACCGACTGCCTCTTGGGCAGAGACTCATAATCCCAGCGCTCCCCCAGCATGGAGCACTGCAGACGGTATCTGGCGAGTTTGTCTAGCAGCACTGCCTCGGACATTCCCTCACACACAGCTCCCTCTGCGGGGAACTCCTGGGTCTCCAGCACAGCCTTCCGGTCTGAAAGAAACCAAGACAGTAAGTGCCCCTTTCATTATGGGTCAGTATGAGGAAAACATCCACAATGTAACCAGATGAATTAAAATCCTCAGGAGAGTCTGGCTGGTGGGGCTCAGTGGTTGAGCATCGACCCATGCATCAAGAGGTCACTGGTTCAATTCCCAGTCAGGGCACATGCCCAGGTTGTGGGCCAAATCTCCAGTGAGGGACATGCAGGAGGAGGGCAATCGATGTTCTCTCTCATCAATGTTTCTATCTCTCTCTCCATCTCCCTTTCTCTCTCTAAAATCAATAAAGAGAAAAAAATTTTTTAATAGAAAAATAAAAATAAAATCCTCAGGAGAGCGTATCATTTTGAAAGCTTTTTCTGGACTAACCAACCTCACATTCCCCAATTTGGGTAGCTTTAACCCTACGTGGTATATAAGCCTTCTCACCTAAACGCTGACCAAGCAGGGCACATTGTGCTGTTAGCAGGACACTGAAGAAAGAAATAGACCAGATGAGAACACTCAGAGACTGACATCTAGGATCAAGTGTGGCGAATACAGACAAGCAGGAAGAGAGGCCACAGAAGAAAATGCTGTATAACCCTTATTTGAGCTGATTCAGTAAAACTGTTAGATTATTTCTCCATTTTATCCAGCAAAACTGTCTTCTCTAGTAAAAATGATTCAATGTGAATGTGAAATGGAAAACTTCCACGGAAACATCACTGTAGGCGTCCTGTGCCCCACGATGATGCACGTGAGCCACTGTAATTTACAAGTGTGTGCACCCCATCTTGTCAGGACCAAGTGTTCCTCTCAAGCACGGTTTGAACAGAGGTCTTACAAAGTGTTGGGAATTCTCGCCATCTCCTATTATAGTAACCTCCGACAATAATCTATAATTCTGATTCTTTGTCTTACTCGATAAACTTGTTCCAGAATGATGCTATGGTTGACATCTGTACTCACCATAGGTATGAACAGAATCGCAGTATCTGTAAGAATACTCCATCAGATCAGAATCAGCGTTAACGGAGAGCACCCACCCAGCTGCACACTGCCTGTCTGCACCAGGCAGTCTGTGTGAACCCTGAATCAATTATGGCTGAACCCAAACTCATGCCCTAACCGGTTCTAATGTGTTTGCTGCAGGCTCCAATCTCGGTTCCCTGGCATGAAACTGGGCATTAATTTCTTCTTCCTCTCAAGTCCCCATTTGCACTCATCAGACGGAGGACGGCAATTTCTACTTCATTTATGTACAGGACCGTGTGGTCTCTCCTGGGAGATGGCTAATTCTTTAATGGCACGCACCCAACATACCAACCAGTACCCAGTCAAAGCTGACACTCGGTAAAAATTGTTATAAAAAGGTCCATAAAGGAGTCATTTAATCAAAGAGAAATAAGGTAATAAAAATGACACCAGAGCCTGGCTGGTGTGGCTCAGTGGTTGAGCATCGACCTATGCACTAAGAGGTCGTGGGCCCGATCTCCAGAAGGGGGTGCAGGGGAGGCAGCTGATCGATGTTGATGCTTCTCTTTTTCATCAATGTTTCTATGTCTCTCTCCCTTGCCCTTCCTATATCTCTAAAAAAAAAAAAACCCAATAAAAAACATTAAAAGAAAAATGACACCTATGTCAGCCAAAAAAAATTAAAAAAAATTTTTTTTCCATTATTGATTTTAGAGCAAGAGGAAGGGAGAGGGAGAGAGATAGGAACATCGATAAGAGAGAACACTGACTGGTGGCCTCCTGCATGCCCCCCACTGGGGATCGGGCCTACAACCTGGGCATGTACCCTGACCGGGAATTGGACCAGCAACCTCTCGGCGCATGGGTTGATGATCAACCACTGAGCCACACCGGCCGGGCCAGCTAAAGATGTTTTGAAGAACAGAGATGACCATGGAAGTCTGGATGTCAAAGGGTCTGAGGGGAGCTGGGAACAAAAGGATCCAGAGTAGAGGAATGAAGTTATGTTTACAGGGAAGGGGACAAAGTTGGAGAGAAAACATAGGGACGATGAAAACTTGGGGAGTCCATTCTCAAGAGGACTTAATTGCCCTCCAGGCCCAGAGCTCAGGAAGAGCCTGCTGATGACCCCAAGTGTCTGAGGCTGCTAAAATGTGACCCACAGTGGCTCCCCCTTCCTGGGTCTCCCACACTCACCTGGGCACCAGTCTCTTGTCACCTTTCTCTTGGCCACCCAGGGCTCTTTCTCTTGTTCCAGTGAGGCAATCACATCGGGCTTAGAGAAGCAAAGTCCTAAATATATAAAAAAACTGGGAGGTGGTCATGCTGTGGATCTGCAATGGCAGAGGGCTGGTGAGGGCATGGTGCTAAAGGGTGACACCGCTGAGTCACGGCAGTGGACAGGGGAAGGCACGAGAGAGGGTGGGGACACCCTTACCCAGCGACACCAGGTTCCTGTAGTTCTCCAACATCACATCTCTGTACAGGTCTCTCTGAGCACAGGTCAGCCGTCGCCACTCCTCCTGGGAGAAATCTACGGCCACATCCCCAAATGTCACCAAGTTCTGAAAGGACAAAACCACGATCTTGCTCAACCAGTGCTCATGCCCCTCAGGACGGTGGGACTGCTGTGGGCTAAATGGTGTCTGCCCAACTTGTACGGTGAAGTGCTAAGCCCCAGTACTTCCGGATATGTCTGCGTTTGGAGATACAGCCTTAAAAGAGGTAATAAAAAGGTAAATGAAGTCATATGGTTGGGCCCTAACCAATCTGACAGGTGTCCTCGTAAGAGGAGGAATAAGGGAGCAGAAGGACAACTGTGTGAAGAGGCAGCAAGGAGGGAGCTGTCTGCTAGGTGAGTGAGGAGGCCTCAGGAGAAACTAACCCTGCCAACACCTTGATCTTGAACTTCTAGCCACCAGAACTGTGAGAAAAGAAATCTCTGTTGTTTAAGTGCCCCCAGTCTGAAAGCCCTCACAAACGAACACAGAGATTTAACGAACTAGAGAAGTATTACCTTCTCTTCATTTTGGGTTAGGGAATATACATGTAAGGAACACTATCTGGTGATCTGAAAATCTAGTGTAACATCGTAAACTCCAGAGGAAAAAAGAAAGATATGGAGACAGCCCCTGCCACTGGCAATCTGCATGGATAAAAGGAGGTACACGCAAGAAAAAACTCTGACGTCAATTCAAAACAATGCACAACCAAGGTCAACTGTTCTGTGCACAATGGGTTCCACAGCACTTTCAGCATGGGGACACTGGAGGGGCCTAGGTCGATCAGCACAGGCGTGGGAAATAAACACGGGCATGAACCCCAAACCGAACACGACTAATCCCTGAGCGGGAGTCTAAGGCATTCTATTTGACACCTTGTTCACTAGATGTTGAGTGTTCATTAAAACAAAACAAAACAAAACAGCCCTGGCTGGTTTTCTCAGTGGTTTGTGTCAGCCTGCGGAACAAAGGGTCATGGGTCTGATTCAAAGTCAAGGGCACATATTTGGGTTGCAGGTTCAATCCCCGGCCCTGGTTGCGATCGTGCAGGAGGCAATCAATCAATGTATCTCTCACATCAATGTCTCTCTTTCTCTCTCTCCCCCTCCCTCCAACTCTTTTTTTTTTTTTAATCCTCACCTGAGGACATTTTTTCTATTTTTTGTACAGATAGAGTGGGAGGGAGAGAGAGGAAGAGAGAGAGAGAGAGAAACATCGACGTGAAAGGGACACATTGAGTGGCTGCCACCCGCATGACCAACCAGGGCCGGGGACAAACTGCAACCGAGGTACATGCCCTTAGCGGGAACTGAACCTGGGTCTCTCCGGACCGCAGGCCGACGCTCTAACTGCTGAGCCAAACCGGCCAGGGCCCTCCAACTCTTTTAAAAATTAATGGAAAAATATCCTTGGGTGAGGATTAATCAAAAGAAATAAACAAAACAAAGCAACACTTGGTAATACTTGCAGGAAAAGAGCCAAGAATGGCGTAGTGAGCCTTAACAAAGATATACTCACGCATCTACCTGAGTGAGCAGGTCTAAAACAAACATAGGTGGGCTTGCGACAGTAACTTTGTGAGTGGGAGCACATGGCCACAAAGTAGAAAACCTGACCTGCTAGCTGCAAAACTGGCGGGAATGCTCATCTTGTAAGAAAGACTCAACTGCAGCTCCACAGGCTGTTCACGTTGACCTGTTACTGACCCACACGTCACACCAGCAATTTGCTAAATGCCTTCAACTCTGAAAACCATACAGGGTTCAGCAGTGGAAATCTTCACATATACTGGAACTCTAACATTTCAATGCAAGGCCTGGAGCTCGGAGGAAAGGTTTGGGCTGGAGAATTCAGAAGCCAGCACAAGGCTAGTTTTTAGGCAAGAGCAGGGAAAGTGTGCCGACAGACAAGAGAGAGAGCCAAGAACGGAGCCCTCGGGTGCACCCAGTTACAGCTCAGGGACAGGAGGAGAAAGCCAGGGGACTGTGGCCTCCTAGAAGCCAAGGAAAAAAGCGTCCCATTGCAGGCCCGGGGATGACTCAGTCAGGGGGTGGCAGCCACCTGTTTTTGTAAATAGTTTTACTGGAATACCCCACCATCCATTTTCCTATTGCCTGTGGCTGCTTTAGCTCCAGATGGCAGTACAGAATAGCCTACAAATCCTAGAATATTTACTACCATGCTCTATGCTGTGAAAGATTGCCTACCCTTAAGCTATTTCATGAACCAAAGAGAGTCAAAAAAGATTAAAAACTGAGAACTGCATTTGGTAACATGTATATCATAGGTAACCTCCTTAAAGCTGTTTGGGTGGGACAACTGGAACCTGGTTCATATATATATATTTATGAGACACAGCTAACAAATGACAAACAGAACTATTTGCGTTTTAAGAAGCCACACAATCAAATGGGGAAAAGATATCCTTTCAAACTGTGCCAAAAATGCTGCCCTTCCCCCTCCTGCCTGCCAAACATCACCTATCCCTTCAAAACATGGCTCAAAATCATCCCATAGTATACACTCCCTAACTTACTCCCACAGCACATATACACCAACAGCTCCTTCTAGCCCATCTCATAGGACCAGTCCAAGCACTTGCAGTCTAGAACCTTTCTGTTCCACATTTTCCACCACCATGCTGTGGGCTACTTGAGAGGAGCTAAAGCTCAGCCATCTGTTTCTCAGGGACTGGTAAGAAGTGGATGCCAAACAAACCAGGTACAGCACAAAGAGTGGTCATGTTTCCCCCAAGGAGTACCCTTTGGCTTCCTCAGAGTCCCTCAGAGAAAACTGGCACAGGGAGGGGCTGAATCACTTGCTCTATGAAGATGAAACACTGAATGGGTTGGAGAGGAAGTGGGGAGAAGGCTCTCGGCTATCCCCACAGCTCTTCATCACTCACCAGAACGTGAGAAAATGGGAACCAAATCCCAGAGCAGGTCTCTTAAACGGAAAACTTTTAGCGCCCCCATGTTCACTGCAGCATCATTTACAATAACCAAGATATGGAAGCAACCCAAATGCCCATCAACAGACAAATGGATGAACAAGCTATGTTACATTTACACAATGGAATATTACTCAACCATCAAAAGGAATGAAATCTTGCCATTTGGTTGCCATAAGGGTTGGGGTTTCGGTGGGGGGAGGCCAGCCTAAATTTAAAAAAACCATAAAAAAAGAAAAAGAAATCTTGCCATTTGTGACAACATGGGTGGCTAAGTGAAATAAGTCAGACAGGAAAAAACAAATACCATATAACTTCACTTATATGTAGAATCTAAAGAACTGAAAAGCAAGGCCGAATTTCAGGGAGGAGACAGGAAATGTTAACTCACCTGGGACGTGGCTTGGGGTTCATTTCCTGTGCCGACTGCCTCCTGTTTGGGCCTGCTCTGCTGTAGTCGGGCGGCGTCCCTGGAAGGCAGAGCTGGGGGACGGGGAGAGAAAGGAGCGATCAGGTCTACACCGCATCCTGAATCACCATCCTGGAAGCGCTGCGTCCCAGCTGAGTCTTCCTCCGGGCACGATTAGATGTGGCTTCCGCAGGTGGCGAACCCAACACTCCGGCACCGGCGGGATGAGGCCAGCGATGAAGGGGCAGCTGGGATGTGGCCATCACTCCACCTGGGGCGGCCACGAGAGGGGCGGGGTATCCGGTCGCCGCGAGCATGGAAATGGAAGTGTCTGGTGAGGTGACCCCAGGCCAGCCCAGGTCCCTCCCTGCACCGCTTCGTGAGGCTCCGACTCACGTTCAACGTCCGGACCTTTGAATACCCTCCCCCTTGAGGGGATGAAGTCGTCCCCGGCCACCCACAAGGCCACCTGTCACCCTCACCTCTGTTCACAAGCCCCATGGTCACGGCTCGTCGCTGGCCCTGGGATATGAGGCCATTCCTGGAGCGCGGCCTTCCCGGGCCCCGGCGGACCAGAGCGGCCGGGGTCGCCGCCGTCGGGCCTCGGCCCGGCCCGGGCTTTGTGCAGGGCACACCTCGCCGCACCGGGGACCCTCGCTCGCGGGCCCCCGCGCTTCCGGCCGCCCTCGCTGCCCTCCGCATGTCCCCGCGGACACAGCTACGCACCCCCGGCGCTCCCGACCCCCAGCAGCCTCGTTCCCGCCCTGCGCGGAGCCCGGCGGTGAACCCACGACCGCACAGGGTGCGCGCCAGCCGGTAGCGCGTACCCAACGGAAGTAGGCGTGTCCGCCACCGCCGCGCCCTCTGGGAAATGTAGTCCTACCGGGGTCGCGAAGGCGTCGGGCGGAGCACGGACTGCCAGAGAGGCAGGGCCACCCCCGGTCAGGGCCCGACCAGAAGTAGCTGCGGCCCATGGGCTTCTGGGAATTGGTGCCCAGGTTGGAGTGCAAACGCGCGGTTGCTAGATGGGGGCGGGGCTTGTGGCAAGGGGCGGAGTCGCGCGGGTGAACGGACACCCCGCTGGGCAAGGTAGGGAGGGCGGTCCCCAGATTGGCCTCTCTCGCAGGGTGTCACCGTGGACAGAATGGGGAACAACCCTGGGCCATGCCAGCGACCAGAGTGTGACTGCTGGGATGTGTGTATGTGTGTGTGTGTGTGTGTGTGTGTGTGTATGTATGTATGTGTGTGTGTAACTTCATGTGCTGAAGCGCATCCTTGACCCCAAGTGCATCCCTTCTCCCCAGACACTTGGGCCTCCCAACCTGCCATACCCATTCTCCAAAAGCAGCTTCCCATATACTTGCAGACTCTAGGTCTGAGCAATTTTTTTTATCCTTACCAGAGGACATTTTTCCATGTTTTGTTCAAACAGAGTGGGAGGGAGAGAGAGAAACATTCAGGTGAAAAGGACACATTGAGTGGCTGCCACCGCATGACCCAACCAGGGCCAGGGACAAACTGCAACCAAGGTACATGCCCTTGAATGGAATCAAACCCATGACTCTCTGGTCTGTGGGCCAATGGTCTAAGCACTGAGCCAAACTAGCCAGGGCTCTTGGGTTACATTTTTTTTATTTTAATCCTCACGCAAGGATATTTTTCCATTTTTGTTCAGATAGAGTGGGAGGGAGGGAGAGAAACATCAATGTGAGAGAGACACATCAACTGGTTGCCTCGCGCACAACCCCGACCAGGGCCGGGACGAACCGCAACCGAGGTATGTGCCCTTGAATGGAATTGAACCCTCGACTCATTGGTCTACCACTGAGCCAAACCGGCCAGGGCCAGAAATTATATTTTCAATTAATAAACTACAAACACTTTCTATGAGTCTAGAGCTCCATCTCCTTTTGCATAATAAGCTCCTGAAATGATTTTCCATAATTTAAGTAAACAATTTACTAGTGTTGGACATTATAGTTGTTCCAGATTTTTTTCAATTCTATAATAAATGTGCTATGTATGTATATTTCTGCACCTGTGCTTTTCAAGAAGATAAATATCTAGATGTAGAACTGTGGCAGAGTGATTAGTTACACTTGAAATCTTGACAGTTAACACCACATTGTCCTCTAAAGTGGCTTTCTACCAATTTACCCTCTCAATATATAAAAACATGGCTTCTCACATCTGCAACAGTACTGGATTATTAGGCACCCTTTACATTCACATGTGCTGGTTTGTATTGGTAGTAAGGACTTCCAGATTTTGCATTTATCTGATAATTAGTATGATAAAATACTCTATTTTGTTTGTTTTTAGCTCTTCATGGAAAAGTTGCCTCTCGGTATGCTTTGCCAGACTGAACATCTTATCTGATCCTTGCTGGTTTTCAACAGCACTTTTGATGAGGGCTACATCCTTCACAATATGTTTAAAATATCTCTCAGCCTGTCATGTGGCCGTTAACATTGCCTCCAGTGTCTTATACCATGGAAAAGGATTAAATCTTTTACATGGTCCCATGTGTCACTCTCTTCATAGCTCCTAACTCTGTATCCTGTTTAGCAAAGTCATCTTCAACACAAAAGGATAGAAATATTCTACATTCTGCTCTAGAATCTTCATATTATGTTTCCTATTACATCTTTACTCCATATTCAATGCAATTTTCTGTAAGGGATGAAATGCAGATCTGACTTTATTTCTAGTTGCAGAACTAATTGTCAAACACCATTTAAATAATCCATCCCTCATAGTGATACATCAAAAATACCACTTTTGCACCCTGGCTAGTTTGACTCGGTGGTTAGGTCATTGGCCCACGGACTAGAGTCACGAGTTTGATTCCAGACAAGGGCATGTACCTGGTTGGGGTTGTGCGGGAGGCAGCCAGTCAATATGTTTCTCTCACATCGATATTTCTCCCCCTCATACTTTATCTGAAGATAAATGTAAAAATATCCTCAGGTGAGGATAAAAAAAAAATTTTTTTTTAAATACCACTTTTGCAATATATTAAATTCATGGGTATGTGATCTTTAAAAATTTCCTTGAGATGCTTGCCTAGTTACCATTCTACATGAATTTCATAAGAAAACAGTCAATGTAAAAATATCCTACAAGGATTGTGACCGCAATTGAGTGAATGTACAGACATCTATACAATAATGAAACTGCCATGTAAAAACTAGTATATATCTCCATTTATTCAGATTCTGCTCTTCTTCAATAGAGGGTAGTAATTTCCTTTCTACATATAACCATGAGTAAATTCATCTATAATTTCATTTTTTCTAGGGTTGATATCACACTGGAATTAGCCTCATGGCAAAAGTGGAGTATTTCAAGTATTTTTTTCTATACTCTACAACAGCTTAATTACTAGTTCCTTGGAGGTTAAGAATTAATCTATGGCCCTGGCTGGTTTGGCTCAGCAGTTAGAGCACTGACCCACGGACCAGAGAGGCCCAAGTTCAGTTCCTGCTAAGGGCACATACCTCAGTTGCAGTTTGTCCCAGGCGCCGGTTAGGGTTGTGTGGGTGGCAACCACTCAATGTGTCTCTCCTGCATCGATGTTTCTCTCTCTCTCTCTCTCTCCCTCCTGCTCTATCTGAAGATAAATGCAAAAATGTCCTCAGGTGAGGAAAAAAAAATTAAAAAATTAATCTATGAACCCAGGTAACTTTAAACAGGGTGACTATTCAAGTTCTCTATTTCTTTACTTTTAAATATCAGCAATATTTATTTATTTTTGCCTGGACTAAACAGCATCTTTATTCTTCCCAGCAAAACCTTATTCAATGGTCCTAGTCTTATCCAGAGCTCCAGACAAGACCTGTCACATATTCTATGCATCAGGTCATAGAATTTCCTCATCAACCAAAGAACACAGCCTCAGATTCATGAGAAAGCCACTCTATTACTTTGTTAAAACACCAAGCTTTAAACATACTAATGCTAATCCTCATCATCCACCAAAAGGTAAGAGTTCTAGTTCCAAAGTTGCCATGCACCTTGGCTGGATGGCTAAGTTGGCTGGAACATCATCCTGTGCACCAAAAGGTTGTGGGTTCGATTCCTAGTCAGGGCACATATCTAGGTTGTGGGTTTAATCACCAGCCAGGGTGCGTATGGGAAGCAATCAATATTTCTCTCTCTCATCGATGTTTCTCTCTAAACATATCCTCAGGTGAAAAAATTTTTTTAAATGTTATGATAACGTGGCACTGATATACTGCTTTCCAGAGTTTGTTTACTGTTTCAAAAGATATTTAAAACAGACTCTGAAGAATACTGACCTAACATTAAACAAGCACTTGGAGTCAGGAACCATGCTAAGCACTTCATATACAATGACTAGTAAAATTTCATAAGGTTTTAAGAGGAAAGTAATATTTACATTTTTAAAAGAACACTGTTGTGTAGTGTGAAAAATGAACTTGAAGGGGACAAAAGAGTATTTGAGCAAACCAGATTTTACACAATAGGAATAGTCCAGGGGAAAGGACTGTGTTTTGGACTAGGGCAATGAGAACTGAAAGTAGCTGAATTCCAAAAATATTTAGCAGATATATCCACAGGCCTTGGTGCCTTGGAAGGTGAGGAAAAGCTGGCTGCCTGAGCTGACTCTGTAGCATGAATTTTCTGATGATGAACAAGGTGTACACTTTGTCTGAAGACATTTCCACATTCCTTACACTTATAAGATCTCTCTCCAGTATGAATTCTTCTAATGTGTAGATGTAGGTGTCCAACCCGGCTAAAGGTTTTTGTACATTCCTTACATTCATATGGTTTTTCTCCTGAATGAATTCTCTGATGAGCAGTAAGGGACTGACGATGGCTAAAGGCTTTGCCACATGCACTACACTCATAAGGTTTCTCACCAGTGTGACATCTTTGATGACAAATGAGGGATGACTTGGTCCTAAATGTCTTCTCACACTCAACACATTCATAAGGCCTTTGCCCAGTATGAAGTCTCCAATGCTGAGCACGGGATGAACTATCACTAAAAGCTTTTCCACATTCAGTACATTTATAGGGTTTCTCTCCAGTATGAACTCTCAGATGTCGAATGAGGTGGGTAGTCCGGCTGAAGGCCTTACCACATTCCTTACACTCATAGGGTTTCTCTTCAGTATGAATTTTATAATGTTGTGCAAGGTGTGCCCTCTGGTTGAAAGCTTTACCACATTTCTTGCATTCAAAGGGCTTCTCTCCAGTATGAATTCTCTGATGAGTGGCCAGCTGTGAACTGATGCTAAAAGCTTTCCCACATTCCTTACATTCAAAGGGTT